TTTTATGTGTGGTTTGAGCTTTAGCAATGTTTCTTTTACAAATGTGGCTGCCTTTGTATTTGGGGCATAGATGTTCAGGATTTGAGACTTCATCTTGATGACTTTTCCTGTAATGAGTATGAAATGCCCTTCTTCATTTCTTTTGATTGATTTTAGTTTGAAGTCTAATTTGTTAGATATTAGGATTGCTACACCAGCTTGTTTCTTGGGCCCATTTGATTGGAAAATCTTTTCCCAACCCTTTACTCTGAGTTAACACCTATCCTTGAAGTTGAGGTGTGTTTCTTGTATACAGAAGAACGATGGATTCAGTCTTCATATCCATTCTGTTATCCTGTATATTTTTTATGGGCAGGTTAAGACTACTGACATTGAGGGATATTGATGTCCATTGATTGTTGGTTCTTGTTTTGGATTTATTGTTCGTGGTGTCATTGTGTGTGGATTTCGCCCTCCTGTTTATTTTCGTGTTTGGTAAAATTGGATTATCTATTGCCTATGTTTTTGTGAGTGTAGTCATCTTCATTGGGTTGAAGTTTTCCTTCTAGAACTTTCTGTAGTGCTGGATTTGTGGATATGTATTGTTTAAATCTGGTTTTGTCATGGAATATCTTGTTTTCTCCATCTATAGTGATTGAAAGTTTGCTGGGTACAGTAGTCTGGGTTGGCATCCATGCTCCCTTAGTGTTTGTTGGATATCTATCCAGGATCTTCTGGTTTTTAAAGTTTCCATTGAGAAGTCGGGTGTGATTCTAATAGGTCTGCCTTTATATGTTACTTGGCCTTCTTCCTTTGCTGCTCTTAATATTTTCTCTTTATTCTGTAGGTTTGGTGTGTTGATTACTATAGGTTGAGGGGACTTCTTTTTGTGGTCCAGTCTGTTTGGTGTTCTGTAAGCTTCTTGTAAGTTTCATAGACATATCCTTATGTATGTTGGGGAAGTTTTCTTCTAAGATTTTGTTGAATATATTTTCGGTATCTTTGAGTGGTATTTCTTCACCTTCTTCTATACCTATTATTCTTAGTTTGGCCTTTTTTCGGTGTCCCATATTTTCTGGATATTTTGTGTTAAGGATTTGTTGGACTTGAGATTTTCTTTGGTCGATGACTGTATATCCTCTAGAGAGTCTTCAACAACTGAGATTCTCTCTTCCATCTCTTGAATTCTATTGGTTATACTTACATCTTTAGTTTCTGATCGTTTATCCAGCCTTTCCATTTCCAGCATGGTCTCATTCTGTGTTTTCTTTATTGTGTTGCCTTGAACTGTTTCGAGTGCTTCCTTCACTTGTTTGTTTTATTCTTGGCTTTCTTTAGATTAAGAGATTTGTATACTTCTTGAATTTTTTGGTTTGTGTTTTCCTCCATCTCATCTAATTTCTTGCTTGTTTTTTTTTCTTCTATTTCTTTAAGGGATTTTCTTGTTTCCTCTTTAAAGGACTCTATCATCTTCCTAAGGTAATTTTTGAGGTCCATCTCTTCATTTCTGTGTTGGGCTTTTCAGATCTTGCTGGTGTGGAGTCCCTAGATTCTGGTGGTGTCATATTGGTTTTTCTGTTGTTGAGTGTGTTCTTACTCTTCTTCCCATCCCTTCTTCCAGTGAGTGCAGGTGGGGTCCTTCTCTCTCTCAGGTGGCTGGAGGAGGGCTCAGCCTCTGGAGGCAGCAGGATGGCAGATGGTGGTGGGTGGACAAGGGTGGGGTGTGTCTGGACTCAGGGTGGGCCTCCCGGTCTGGGCAGGTCCACTCTTGTCAGGGTGGGCTCAGGCAGAAGCGAGCAGGTGATGATGGGGGAGATTTTGGGGGGGGGCGGGCAGAGCAGTGCCCAGACTCACCTGAGGTTTGGGCACCCTCCGAGGACAGAGGGCAGAGTGTGAACAGAGGTGAGGTGTGTCCAGACTCAGGGTGGGCCTTCCAGTCTGAGCAGGTCCACTCTTCAAATTATATCCTTTAAAAGCATTGAAGATTTGTATAGCAGATCAAAGAAGGGTGATTGGAGGGTCACACAGTTGATGACTGAGGAAAAGCTCAGAGAATGAATAATCTAATGATGGAATAGTTTCATAGCCCACAGACTGATGGGAATTCTCCTTCTAATAATAGAAATAGGCAAATGAGCTCTGTAGCCTTCAGGTGACTGAAACATGAGGATATGAAAACAAGGAGGAATAAAGAAAGCAAGTAAATTTGTCAAAGGAAAATATTCTTTATTTAAATAAAAACATGTTAAGATGACAGAGTTGTTAGTTAAAAATTGAGATTTTCCTAAGGTTTAAAAACATCTATTTGTTTGCTGGCTTAGTTAAAAGTTGAGATTTTCCTAAGGTTTAAAAACATCTATTTGTTTACTGGTGCTTTAATTCGAAATGTCTCCATCAGTTTTTCTGACCTGTAGGGAGAAAGAAAAAGATTGAAGTAGTGTAATTTTCACAGCTTGAGGGTGTGCCAGAAGTGTTTAAAAGGAGCCTTTCACAGCCTTTTTTCCAATGTCTGATCTGAAGCCCCTAGGATTTGCCCTGTATCCTATTGTGGTTTGAGGGGAACAGAATAACATTTTTTTTTTTTCTGGGCATTGAACTCAAGACTAAGTGCATATGAGGCAGGAGTACTATCGATGAGCTAAATCCCCAGACCAATATTTTAATAAATTATGTTTTGAGATGGGGGGGTCTTATTTTGTAGCCCTGGCTGGCTACATTATGTAGACAAGGGTAGACTTGAACTCAGAGATCTGCCTGCCTCTACCTTCTGAGTTCAGGGATCAAAGGTATGTATCACCGCATCCAATAGCTTTAGGTTTTTTTTTTTTTTTTTTTTTTTTTTTTTTTTTTTTTTTTGTCTGTTTTGTTGTTTAGGAAAGATTTGTCTAAGAATCTTTGAGAGTTTAGATCACAATGTTTAAACTTTGATGTTAACCTGACAAAGGTTACTTTACCTCTTCCCCAAGACTTGGAGCTGTTAGGATATTTTTCAGCCATAGCCTCTTTTAGGTCTTTTGAGTCACTATAGGAGAGAACCCCAAGAAGAAAGTTAACAGGAAAGCAGGAATGGGGAATGAGATGATATATCCAGTTTCAGGCAGCCAGAGTAACATTATCTGACATGATTGATAATACTCAGGGTTACAGTAGGAATCATTTGATTTCTTTGTTTCATATAGTTCCTTTATGCCTTCCCTTTTTATGTGGTAGGTGACTCCATCAATGGCCCCTGTAACCCTTGAATGTGCTCTGCAGGCTTGTTTGGCTAGGGATTCTGAGCTATTTGTGTATAGATGGTCCCCTAAAGTTTGAGAAGTTGGCCTTTTATTCTTTACAGAATTATGTTGTATATACAAGGCCTTGATGGAATATTGTCCCAAGGGAACTATTGAGAAGGAAAGTACCCAGAGCCACATACATTTTATGTGTGTAATTGTGGTATGAGTGTGTGCCTATGTGCTAGAGATCAGTGTTGGATGTTTCATCAACTGTTTTCCACCTTATTTTAAAAAAATGTGATTTTTAAAATGGTACATGTGTGTTTTGTCTGCATATATGTCTGTGTACCACATATGTGCCTCATGTCCATGGAGGCCAGAAGATGTTTGATTCCTGGAACTAGAGTTACAGATGGCTGTGATCTGCAGTAGATGTTGGGAATCAAACCTGGGTCCTCTAGTGTGTGTGTGTGTGTGTGTGTGTGTGTGTGTGTGTGTGTGTGTATGTGTGTGTGTGTGTAGGCCAGAGGACAATTTATGGGAGTAGTTTACCTACCATACGGACCTTATGGATTGAATGCAGGCTGCTAGGCTTGGCAATAAGTACCTTTTACCCACTGGAACATCTCATTAGACTTTCACCTTATTTATTTTTATTTATTTGATATGAGATCTCCTACTGACCCTGGAGCTTACTGATTTGGTTAGACTTCCTGGACAGCAAGTTTCAGGGACCCTCCTGCCTGCTTCCTCAGTGCTTTGATTATAGGTGCACGACACCATACCTGACTATTTTATGTGGGCCTGGGAGCTAAATTCAGGCCCTCATGTTTGTGCAGCAAGCATTAACCAACTGAGCCACTCTACAGCCCTGACCACAAATCTTTTAAGTTAGTATCTAAAGCTCAGGCATTTTGAACCTATGGTCTAATGGCCATTTTCCCTTTAAATGTCCAACTTTAGGACTGGTAAGATGGCTGAGTGGGCAAAAACATGTATTGCCAAGCCTTACAACCTGAATTTAAAACCCAGAATCCCTGGGGTGGATGGAGAAAATTGGTGACAACAGGTTGTCTTCTGACCTGTCCACAAATATCCTGACCATGCTAAACAAATAAACATTAAACAAAAGTCAAACCCTCTCTGGGGAATGGATGGGGGTGGGATGGGGGGGTTCTGTGGGGAGCATGGGAGGGAACTGGGATTGGTATGTAAAATAAGATTGTTTTTAATTTAAATAAAAATTTATTTTTAAAATGAGTCAACTTATTACCTTGAATGATGGTGACAGCATATAGTTTATCTTACCTTTCACAAACCAGCGTTTTTGGAGCAAAAGTCTCAAGAACAAATGAAGGAGAATGATGCATATTATCTAGAAAGTAAAGAATGGGGAAGAAGAAACACAAATTATGAGCATTTTCAGATTGTTGGTAGCAGAGATTTTCTCAGTCTCTCCTGTGTAGCTGTTGCTGGGAAGGAGCTGCTCTGCCAGGGACCACGTGTACACCCCCTTGCATTTAGGTATGGTTATGTGACTGCTTTTACCAGGGGAATGTGAATGTAAGTATCTTCTCAAACTAGATAGTTAAAGGCACTTGTACCTTACCATTTTCCTTTTGTGTCATCTTTGGAAGGAAGCTAAATGTGGAAGGTTGACAGCCACAAGATGATACAAGCTTATATCTTCATGTTATTCGCCACTAAATTTGTCTTAGAGTTTTTATTACTGTGACAATGAACAAAAGCAACTTGGGGAGGAAAGGGTTTATTTGGCTTACACTTCCAGGTACCAGTAAGGTAAGTCAGGATGGGATCCTGGAGACATGAATTAAAGCAGAGGCCATGGAGTGTCACTTGCTGGCTTGCTCAGCCTGCTCTTTTTTTCTTTCCTTCTTTCCCTCCTTCCTTTCCCTCCTTCCTTTCTTTGGAGACAGGTTTCTGTGAATGGCCCTGGCTGTCCTGGAACTCACTCTTTAGACCAGGCTGCCCTTGAACCTGCAGAGATCCACCTGCCTCTGCCTCCTAAGTGTTGGGATTAAAAGCATTTGTCACCTACTGCCTGACCTTCATCCTGTTTTCTTATAGAACACAGAACTACCTGCGCAGAAGTGGCACCATCCACAATGGGCTGGATCCTCCAACGTCAATCGCTAATAAAAAAAAAAAATAAATGCCCTACAGGGTTACCTATACCCTGATCTTATGGAGGCATTTTCTCAGTTGAGGTTTCTTCCTCTTAGATGATTCTAGCTGTGTCAAGCTGACATAAAACTAGTTAGCACAATACCTGCTCTGAGATTTTAAATTATGACATTAATAAAATTTAGTTTGTATTATAGAAAGAAGCTTTGTTCTAACATACTGATTTTTATTGTTTACAGTGCTGGGGATAGAGCCTAGAACCTCATGAATGCTAGGCAAGTGCTGTGCCCCTGGGCTGCAGCCCTTTTCTATGTACAATTATTAAGTTTGATTATGAGGCACCTTTTTTATAGATGAGCATTTAAAAGATGTTTTTAAGAAATAGAGGCCAGCCTGGTCTCCATCCAGAGTGAGTGCCAGGATAGGCTCCAAAGCTACACAGAGAAACCCTGTCTCAAAAAAAACAAAAAACAAAAAACAAAAAAACAAAACAAAAAGAAAGATTCCTTTAATAGACAAACCTAGTTTGGACTGAAGCTATCGAGGTGTTTATTTGTTTAGAGACAGGATTTTCTCTGTGTAGCCCTGGCTGTCCTGAACTCACTCTGTAGACAGACTGGCCTTGAACTCAGATCTGTCTGCCTCTGCTTCCTGAATTCTGGGATAACAGGTAAATCACAATTCCTGGTAAGATAAACTTTTCATCTTTATGAGTGAATTTAGAATTTAGATAACTAAAAAAAATGAATAGTTTATTGATTACTCTTTTGCTTAAGGAGCAATTGTTTATTGCTGGAGGAGGGCAGAGGGGCTGAGCAGTAACAACACTATAGTAGCACTAGGCTATGGACTACATGGAGGTGTGGGTGGGAGTGTCTCCATTTGGGGGATGTACTTGTTTGCTAGGGCCAGTTTTCGGTTGTTTCCTAGCATGTTATTTGCACCATGTGAATAAAGGCAGTCTTGATGGGCCAGTGTATGCTACTAGGACCTTAGTGTGAGCTGCTATGTCTTAAGTTTCCAATTGTACAATCTCTGCCATGCAAATCAAGAGGCCATTCAAATTATGGCCACCTTGGCTGATGAAGGCTCAGCCCAGGTCAAAGGCTGTGGCCATGGGATGCTGGCCTGTAGCTCAGTGAGACTATTTTTAACTGGGCCACCCCATTTAGAGACAGGTGGCAGTCTTAAACTTAGTTTAACATAGTGAAGTTTTTGTTTTTGTTTTTGTTTTTTTTCGAGACAGGGTTTCTCTGTGTAGCCTTGGAGGTTGTCCTGGAAATCACTCTGTAGACCAGGCTAGTCTTGAATTCACAGCGATCCACCTGCCTCTGCCTCCCGAGTGCTGGGATTAAAGGCCTGCACCTACCGCCGACTCCCCACCCCCCCTCGCCGGTTTAGGAAAGGGTTTTTTTTTGATATGCAAAAATATTTATTATTCAGGGCTGTTTACTTTAGGGAAGGGGTTTTAGGAGATAAGCATAAAAATTTATTATTTGGGGCTGTTTACTTTAGGGAAGGGGTTCTAGGAGATAAGCATAAAAATTTATTATTCGGGGCTGTGTACTGTCTGCTAGCTCTAAAGAGCACTTCTGTTCACAGCTGTGTTCCTTTCTCTTGCTCACCCACATTCCAGGCATCAGGGTCAGGAATCTGATTACTAGCGCCGGAGTTTTCATCTCCTTCAAAACTTGGGTGAGTAATCTTTGGAAGGTTAAGTGGCTCTGAAACAAAGTAGAAGAGAAGGTGTTGAAGTAGAGTAGACAATTAAAGTTTTTTATCTGCTTTGTTTAGCCAAGGCTTCTAAGATATGGGGATGTAGGAAACCATTGAATTTGGCATCGCTTACCAGTTCTTGAGTGAAAAGCTTACCATCATCAATTGCAGTTCTGTTGGCACAACTGGCCTCATGTTCCTTGAGTCTTTTGATCGGGACCACATGACAAGCATTATATTTGCAGTTAGCCATCTTTTTAGCTATCTTTGGATTTTTCTAGAAGGAAAAAAATTCTTGTTAGGTTTTGCCTATATTCTATCCTCCACTCATTTCTGAAAATGCTAATGATATATTTTGTCTCAACTTTAAGAATGATTAGTTTCTAGTTGTGAGTAGAAGCAAAAAGCAAAACTAAAGATCCTTATATTCAGAAAAAATTTCTCCTGTAATTTACAGTTGTTATTGGGGAAACTTACCTTTTTGCATGATGCCAGATGGTATTGTAACCTGCTGACTGGTATCTTGTGGTTTGGATCATAAGGACAGTGTTCTGTGGGTTCTAACTCCATTAGTCCTAAAAGGCATGAATCATAGTTTGGAAAAGAAAAGATTACCACTTAAGATCAGGTTATTTTGACATAGGCCTATTTTCTGTTCTTAAAAGCAATGTGGTATTGGGGCTGGAGAGATGGCTCAGCAGTTAGATTGGTTTCTGCTCAATCATGAAACCTGGAGTTCAGATCTCAGCACCCAAATTGGGTGGCTGACAATGTTGGTAACATCCATTCCTGGGGATCCTACACCCTCTTCTTATCATCTGGGGGATACCCATGAGAACTTGTACACACACACACACACACTCTCACACACACACCCCACTCACACACACACCCCACTCACACACACACCCTCTCACACCCACCCCCCACTCACACACACGCCCCACTCACACACACGCCCCACTCACACACACGCCCCACTCACACACACGCCCCACTCACACACACGCCCCACTCACACACACGCCCCACTCACACACACGCCCCACTCACACACACGCCCCACTCACACACACGCCCCACTCACACACACGCCCCACTCACACACACGCCCCACTCACACACACGCCCCACTCACACACACGCCCCACTCACACACACGCCCCACTCACACACACGCCCCACTCACACACACGCCCCACTCACACACACGCCCCACTCACACACACGCCCCACTCACACACACGCCCCACTCACACACACGCCCCACTCACACACACGCCCCACTCACACACACGCCCCACTCACACACACGCCCCACTCACACACACGCCCCACTCACACACACGCCCCACTCACACACACGCCCCACTCACACACACGCCCCACTCACACACACGCCCCACTCACACACACGCCCCACTCACACACACGCCCCACTCACACACACGCCCCACTCACACACACGCCCCACTCACACACACGCCCCACTCACACACACGCCCCACTCACACACACGCCCCACTCACACACACGCCCCACTCACACACACGCCCCACTCACACACACGCCCCACTCACACACACGCCCCACTCACACACACGCCCCACTCACACACACGCCCCACTCACACACACGCCCCACTCACACACACGCCCCACTCACACACACGCCCCACTCACACACACGCCCCACTCACACACACGCCCCACTCACACACACGCCCCACTCACACACACGCCCCACTCACACACACGCCCCACTCACACACACGCCCCACTCACACACACGCCCCACTCACACACACGCCCCACTCACACACACGCCCCACTCACACACACGCCCCACTCACACACACGCCCCACTCACACACACGCCCCACTCACACACACGCCCCACTCACACACACACCCCACTCACACACACACCCCACTCACACACACACCCCACTCACAAAGACATTTGAATAACAAAAGCAATAGTTTAGCTGGTTAGACCATAGGGAAAGCCTCTGCTTTGTTTTGGGAAGCCAAAATTTAACATTATATATACACTCATAGGTTTGCTTTAAGTAGAGTGCTTACTTCCCAAATAGAATATTAAGACAAGAATCAAGAATCCCTGGGGAGAAAAAAAAATCACAGATCTGACTATGATGAAATTCAACATTTATACACTAAAACAGGGCTCAGGGAACTGGTTCCTTTAGTGTTCCTCTCCTCTCCTTTCAACTTTTCGAAAACTGAGCTACTAATTGTCAGACAGCTCAGTATAACCCCTGAGAAGGAATGAGAAGAACCACAATATAATGTCTGAGTTTAGGCCACTTACATTGACCTGAGAATGCTAGCCTGAAATCTCTAAACTTGTGGATATTAGCATATAAAGACTCCTAGAAGTGAGCTAAAAATAAACCATCTCAAAGCTGCTACATTTTATTGCCAATAGGAGGCCCACTCTCCCCTATGGCTAGCTGTCTTTAGCTATCCAAGCAGACATTCATTTCAAGGACTTCCAAGTTTCCAGGCAACAGCTATAGCTGAGATTTCTGCAACACATTGATGCATAGTGTGGTGGTGATTGTGTGTGTGTGTGTGTGTGTGTGTGTGTGTGTGTGTGAAAAGATCAAGGCAGAGTGGCATAAGCAATTGGGATAGAAAAGTGCCTAGAATAGCCCATTTCTATTTGGTTTGCACCATGCCTAGAGCATAGGCAAAGGGCATAGAGGTAGACTGTTTAAATGTCAGATTTTCCTGATGGCATTTTGGTGATTAAATCCAGGGATTTAGACTCAGGTAGTTTTTGGGACACAAGTCAGTGATTCTTTATGCCTTCGCTGCTAATTAATGATTATATTTGAGCCATGGATACTTAAAGTTAATTGACTTTCTGGGAAATATTAAAGAAAGATAATGGATCTGGGCAGTGGTGGCACACGCCTTTAATCCCAGTACTCGGGAGGCAGAAACAAGCAGGTATCTGTGAGTTCCTGGACAGCCAAGGCTACACTGAGAAACCCTGTTTTGAAAAAACAAAAAGGTTAAAAAAGAGAAAAGAAAAAAAACCCCAAAAACAAAAACAACCCCTCTCCAAAAAGGATAATGGAAAATGTGTTTTAATATCTATATATAGTCTTCAGAAAACCTGTTATTTCAGCCAGTGGCCTAGGAAAAGTAGGAGTTTTGGTTATACTGGTAAGTCTGGTCTTTGGAGGATTCTCATTGGAAACAGCAGATACTGGTTTGTTCATTAATCAAAAACTTACATTTCCCACGGAGGGAGGCCATGACTATGACAGAGGCCATTTGATTTAACAGGTCAGATTCCTCAAAGCTACCTTCATTCTTAAATCTGGCATAAAGATGGTGAGACTTACCTTATTCTCCAAGCACTGTCCCTCAGTCCCAAGGGAAGTGTCAATAAAAGACGTTTGAGTAAACAGAAAGCACAGCACCCTCCACTTAACAAAGGAAACCAGCTTGCTATCCAAGCTCTCTGTTCAGTTCCTCTCCCCCACCATAGGTTTGTGTTTCTCAGAAGTTTGGAAAGTTTTGATGTCATAGTGAAGCCTTAGAGAAGATTCTCAGTCTGGCTGCAAGTGGGAATCACCAGGAAAGTTTTAAAGTGACAGATCCTTCAGGGCCATCCCAGAACTACTGGCTTAGAATCTTAAGAGTGCAGGCTGGCTGCATGTGGCTTTAAGAGTTCCTTAGAGGATTCTGGTTGATAGTTACTAGGTTACCAGGCTACTGCCACCATTGCTAGGCCATGTTCTGTGGTAATTAAGTATTTTTAGAAGGGTTCACAGAAGTAACTAAAGTATATATAATCTTTTCAATTATTGCCACAATAAGCCCCATCTTTCAACCTGACCCTTTTCTTTATGGCTTAATATAGAATGCCACAGAAAGTGATAGGACAAGCTCAGTACACCTTCAAAAATCAAAATCTTAGTTTATTTTTGGCATCGTTAATCCAATATACTAGGCCCTGAGCTAAACATACACATGTAACAAATCATTTAATCACTTCTATAAGTTGTATAAAGGATTGTCACCATTTAGTAGATTAGGAAAACCAACTTAGTGAGGATAGCCTCAAGTTACAAGGCTTACACATCTCAGTAGCATTATTAATATTGCTTGAAGTAATACATTTAAGAACATTGAAATTATCAGCTATGTAGCAAACACCTAGGTTATCACTTTACATATACTAATCAACTTAATATAATAGCCCCATGAGATAGAAATTATTAACATAATCACTTTTAAAAGGTACATAAACTGGATCAGCTGGTAAATGGTAGAGTAGGGATAGAAAGTCAAGCTACCTGGGTCTAGAATCTGGGCTCTTAGCCACTAAGGATCAGCTCACCAGAATCTGATGCTGAAGTGTGGGTTTTCTCTCAGACCAGCTTCAACAGTCTGGTGTTGCTAGCCTGCAGCAATTTTTCACTGAAAGTGAGAAGGGAAGATGATCTGAAATGGGCATTTAAAGGCAGAACATAAACTGGGCAGGATGGTACACACTTGTAATCCCAGCATTTAGGTGATGAAGGTGGGAAAATCAGGAGTTCAGGGTTCCCCGTGGCTACACACTGAGTTTTAAGTCAGTGGGGGTTCTATAAAACCTTATCTTAAAATCCAAATAAATGAATAAAACTAAATAAATGAAGGCAGAACTTGATTTGGAAGTAAAGTACATGAGTGCAGACCCAGTGCTGTAGGAATTTAGGAAGGACTGGGTTTAGGACTGTTGAGTAAGACCATGAAGCTTGAGCAGGATTTGGCTCAGCAATAGGAAAAACATATATAAGTGAAGGCAGAAATAAACATAGCACACTCCCAGTAGACAGAAACCGTGGTCCCCATTTGGTTGGGGCATATATGTCAGAGGTGGCAGAAAAACATGATTGGTTTGGCATAGAGAACCTTTAACTAATTTTTTTGGACAAGGACAGGAATATAAGTGAGAAAGAGAAAGCAAAAAGATACTGACCTTGTGAAGGCAGCGGCTGGGCAGCTGGGCGGCTGGGCGGCTGGGCGGCTGGGCGGCTGGGCTGCTGGGGTGCTGGGCTGCTGGGCTGCTGGGCTGCTGGGTGGCTAGGCGGTTGGGCTGCTTCTGACAGCCTGTTATTTATCCTTCCCGGTCAAGGTAAAACCAATAGAACCCACAGACCTCTTCAGTAAAACCTGGGTTTTCTTGATAACAGCAGGTGATTTAAATCTTCAAGGCTCATATCATGTTCCTCTGGGCCATAGCGTTTGAGGCTCCTATAAATAAATGAAGGCAGGGTCTCTTTTCTAAAAATGCAAAGCATCTCTCAGAGATGTTGGAAATTTCATACGTTCAGCATTTGATCGTTTCTTCAAAACAAAACATTCTCTCAGAAGCAAGCATGCTAAGTTCTTTAGTAATAATGTTGATCATCCCTGACTACTTCCTCCCACCCCCACCCAGGATTTTAGCCTCATATGAAAGGTCTGGGTATAGAAAAAGATGGGATTATTAAATAAGCAGAGAAAAGGCTGTGGGAAGGAAGCAGGTGCAAGTACATCTCTGACATC